ACCCCCCAGCAGCCCAGCCGCCCGGGGCCTCTGTCCCCCCCCCCCCCCAGACTCACCGGGCCACAGCAGCGTGTCCTCACCCAGCGCAGCGGCCGTGTCCAGCGATGCCAGCATAGTCTCCGGGGTGCCCTCGAAGATGCGCCCTGCCAAGGGGGTCAGTCTGCAGGGTCCCCTGCACACCTGGTGCTCCCCCACCCTGCTGCGGGTGCCCACAGGCTCCCGGGGGTCCGAGGACCCCGACTCACCACAGCCGGAGAGGAAGAGCAGGTCCCCGGAGAAGAGGCAGGGGGGAGCAGCAGGGGGGGTGCCATCCAGCACATAGATCACGTGTCCCACCGTGTGCCCAGGCGTGTGCCGGGCTGTGAAGCGCAGCTCACCCACACCAATGCGTGCCCCGTCCAGCACCGGGCTGGGTGGGCAAAAGGTGAGGGGTGAGGGGGGTGAACCCACAGCTGACCCCCCCAGCTGCCTGTGGCCACACATGCAAAGAGGCCGACAGATCTCAGCTCTGCTCCTCAGACGGAGGGTGGGGGTTTGAGACCCTGCCCCTGCGCCCCCCTGCCACCACTCACTGGGTGAGCTGGGGCACGGCGTCGGCGGCGCTGCCATAGACCCGGCAGGAGCCGTGGCGCCGGCACAGCTCCGCGTTGCCCCCGCTGTGGTCCCTGCGGGTGACGGACCTGACAGTCAGTGCCTGGCCCCCCCGCCCCGCTCCCCAACCTGTGACATCACCCCCTGGCTCAGGGCACAGCCCCCATTTCCCAGGGGATCTTTCTGCCCTGTTCTGACCCCACCCCCACCTCCACTGCCTCGGGGCCATGGGGGCGAGGCTGGCTCTGCCCAGCCAACCTGTGTCCCCCAGCCTATATTGTACCCCCAGAGGGGGCACCCAGCCAGGCAGGGGCTGGGCAGGATTGGGGCTGTATCAGCCCCCCACCCCCACTGTGTCAGGACTGCCGGTGCAGGTTGCTCTGCCTGCCCCCCCCAGCCCTTATCTGCCATGCAGATAATCAGCTGAGCCCTGAGGCAGTGGCTTTTGCACCCCCTCCCACTCCCCTGTTGTTGCCCCTGACTCCCAAACCGCAGCCCCCTGCCCCCCAGGTGCCCCTCACCAGTGCTTGTGGGTGCACAGGATGGCATCCAGGGTCACTCCCTCCTGCTCGATGGCAGCCTGCGGGAGGGAAAGGGGGCAGTGTCAGGGGAGCAAGGGCAATCCTTGCCCCAGGGGGAGGTGGCAGCACCCAGCCAGTGTCCCTTCCCCCCCAAGACAGACCCCCCCCTCTCTAGGGCTAGGCACAAAGGGGCCCCAGGGACCCTGCACCCATGAAGTGGGGAGGGGAGGGGGGGGGATTGAGATAGTGGCTGTTTGTCCTAGGCCCTATAGTGCTGAAGCCAAAGGGGAGTCTCCTTTGCTGGGGCAGCAGGGGGTTGGGTGCCAACCACTGAGGAACCTCCAGGGACTGGGGCCTAGCCCTGATACCCCTTCTCCACCCTGCCCCCCCCCACAGCCCTGCTGGTGCCCCTCACTCCTGACCCACAGGCCCTGCCCCCCTAACAAAAGACCCTCGGGGGGGGCCCTAGGTAGATCTACCCACCTCCCGTGGGCAAATACCTGCCCCATGCAGCCCATTCCTCCTGAGGACTCCATCGCCCTGGTATCTGGGCACCTTCATATCTCCCCAGGCTCCCAAAGGGCCTGGGGTGGGGAGAAGGGGCAACAGCCTAGAGCTCCCCTCCATGAATCAAAGCTGCAGCAGGGGGATGGGGACCCCCACCCCCCTGATTTGCCCCTGCCCTGGGGCTGGGCAGGTCTCACCTGCACGGCGCGAGGGTCAGCGGGGTCCACAACGGCCGCGCGCCGAGACCCCGTGTCGATGACCAGGTAGCTGTAGTTGTTGGCCAGCACTGGCACCGGCAGGATCTTCACGCCTGGCAGGGAATCCAGGAGTCCTGAGATGCCCCCCTCTTCCCCTGCCCAAGTCTGGCCCTGCCCTGCACCCCCAGAAGGGCATCATGGGCCAAGGCCCCCTCCAACCTGGGGCTGCACCCAGACCCCCAAGCCCACCCCAGGGCCCCTGGGCTGAATCCAGGGTCCAGGCACCAGCTGCTCCCCCCTCAGCAGCAGTAAGAGGCTTTTATCCCCTGGGCAGCAGGGAGCAGAGGGGGCTCAGGACTCGCCTGGGAAGGTGGTGAGGGGCTGGGGGTGGGACTCACCTGGGAAGGCCACGGGCTGGGGCACAGAGTGGCCGTGGGGGTAGCGCTCCCGCGCCTTGCGCACCTGGCGCTTGTAGAAGAGGTAGCCGAGGCGGGTGTGGGCATAGAGGGTGTACCTGGGCGGGGAGAGCAGTGTCACTGGGGGGGGCAGCTC